TGGTCCATGACCGCTACGTTATTAACTTGTATACATCTTCAATTAGGTCAACGCTGGCATACTCAATGATTGTCTTGCTTTCTTGTGATGCATGCCACGTTGACCTTTTTGATCATGTTCAACCTGACCTCACGTTGTTTGCTCTGCGCGGCTAGGCATGGGATCTGGGCTTAACCCTTGCACCATATTAAAACAGACTGAACACATAGATACTAATATTCCTAGTCGGATTTCACGACATCTTGGTATTTGAAGCTACCACAATGAAGAAACAGTTAGGAATTGCTTTATCCATTTTGGCGAATATGTAAAATCTTGAAGGCATGTAATCATTTGCTTGCTTTTTCGATTACCTCCGCCAGTATTATTAAAAGCCTTATATTACGTAATTACTTGCTTAATTACGTGTTGTTCTTTCTAAGCTTAGATTATTAGAATTTTATTGAAGGGCTTTTTCATGCTACACATATCTTGTTTTTGTTTTTTATTCAACACTCCTTAAGCCAAAAGTGTTAGATTTTCCTGCATGGAGTGCCTAACAGCGCTTAAATTTTAATAATATCGCCTGGAACTTCCAGACAGATAATTTCGGGTCTCAAGCGATTGTGTTCGTCGTATGCTCGAAAAAATGCAACGACCTTGTATCGTCCTTCCATGTTAACAAGCGCCTGTCCATCAGCTTTGGCTGTGAAGGGGTTGTGACGATATTTTATCTAAATTTGATGAACTGTTTAGAAACGCATAAAGTATTCAGAAGAAGACAACACATACACCCTTTCCGAAACATTGAAGGTCCTCCGGAAAAACGTGTCGCGACCATAGCTCGTAGATGTATGAGTCAGTCATTTCCATTTCTTTACAAAAGTCCAGTACTCGTACCGAGAAAGGAGTTTGTATCCAACCACCGCGAAAAAATTTTTGCAGCTCCGCATCCATCTATAAAAATTTTAAATAGGACATTTTTCACTCTTCAATTAATCCGGCTGCAGAATTTTTGTGCAAGACTAACATAATACTTTTCTAAGTTTTATAAAGCATGCAGCATTACTTCTCTAACGTTCTACTTCTCAGATTGTATATTTACATGTAATTTGAATTTCTTCTGTTATATGACGTTAGTGTTCTATTTATTATATGCCGTTACTTTGCCGAAAAACTCTTTCATAATTAGCTATATATATTTGTACTACAGTTTAACAACTTGCTGATTGAAGCTTTTTTGTATTCAATTATAACATTTACCGTGACTCGATCACCCGTCTTTATATCCCAAATCATTTTAAAAGTCCCACTACAATGTATTCCTTCATCATCGTGAGAAACAATCCATTCACTTAGATCTGCAAAATGATCAATACCGACCGTTCCTGGCTTATTGGTGCAATGAATGGATAATTCAGGATATTCCGGTACAAATCTGTAAAGAGCGGCTTGTGCCTCAAAACCCAGTGTAACTATAATTATTATAATTAAACCGTTCGAAGGAGTCATTGTATTGCCTTCAGATCACAAAAATTTACTGAAAAATTTTACCCCGAGCAAAGTTTTATATATCGTCTAGAGTTACGACATTACAACAACTAAACAATTAAAAATACTATGTGTATATATCTATATATATATAAATTATTCATTATTATTGAATAATTTCCGTGGTAATACACCATTAACCTTTTTCTCGCTATG